ATTGACATGTAAAATATAAATATTATAAATATAATATTATAAATATAATATTATAAATAAATTTTGATAGTTCTAATAATATTAAGTTAAATAACACAATATTATAATATTGTTTATTAATACTTACTGTATGCTTTTATCGAAATTATTCAAAATCTCCATTTCTGTCGAGCTCGACGGTCTATGTAATTTCTGTCTCAATATATTGATTAACATAATAATGTTTTTACGATTCATCAATAAAATGAACACTTTACAAGAAGAAATAAGAGTCGCGATTGGTGGAAAAAAATTATCGAGAAAATCTTCCCCGTTATTTATAGTCCAGATTACATCCATCAATACTGATAGCATAAAAGTATTTACTATTAGAATTACTATACTTGTATATACGTGATATATAATGCGTTTACATAGCGACGACCAGGAATAAGGTCGCCAGCACCCAAATATTGTTAAAAGATTAAAAGTATATTTAAGGATGTACATTTTAGAAGATTTTCTTTGTTATCACCTGTGACGTTCACATCTGTCAAGCATACAACACTCGTAATTAATTACTACAAATTTTATATAACTTATTATATAATATCACTAATTGTAATAAATGTACCCAAAGTGTAACTTTTGAAATTTTGTCAATTCAAAATTGCTTATAGTTTTCGTTTTGACTTTTTTATTATCTTATGAACTTAATTAATATTTTGTTTTTTATTACTTAATGTTATTTATATTGCATTTATCATAAATTTTCTAATTATTCTAACAATTAAAAATAAATGTTTTATACCTAAATCTTGTGCAAAAAATATATTAAATTATTATAAAGAAAAAATATTTTAAAAACTGGTAAGTATAATGAGACATGCAACAAAGTTCTTAGAATGATTGATAAATATACTCTCTCTACAGTCTATAGCTTTGCTCATTTCTTAGATGTAGAATAATGTCGTAGTTATTCCATTATTCATTTTCCAGTGTATCTCTCATAATATATTCCTCGTGAAATAATTTTTCACGACATAGCAACACATATACATACAGATGGTTACAAAATTGACCTGCATAATATATAGCATAATTTTGGCTTTGACTGTAACAAAGAAGTGAAGTAGAAGAAATATGGAGTAGAATAATAAAATATTGAACAGATAATTATAATTTATCTTTATAAGATATCAACACTGGCACATTATACTTTTATAATATTTATGCTTTGAACATTTAACTTTTCTTTAAAATTCAGATTTCTCTGTAGCTATATTGATGTTATTGATATTTCTAAGATATTTGTAGTGCTATTCAATCTCTTTTCCTTTTTATATTTTTTTTTAATCACAGTAGCATAATATCAAATTATTCATTGTACAAATATATTTTACAGGTAAGAAAAAGTTGTTAACGCGCAAATATTATAGTATATAATACAATATATTGTAATAGTAGTAATAGAAAAGTAAATATTATAATTATAGAATAAAGAGTATTTTTACATTTATTTAAATAGCAAATTATATAATTTTCTAAGTTAGTTTAATAAATACATCAATTAAACAATAAATATATAACTAAATTTAATTAAGAATAATTCTAAATTATTTTATTTACTATAATTTTGTTATAGTTGTAATGTTACTGTAAATTAAACATATAATACACGCAAAAACAATTTTGTAATGTTAAACTGTATAATAATATCTCCTTCCTCCCTCTTCTCTCCCCCCCCCGCTCTCTCTCTCTCTCTCTCTCTCTCTCTCTCTCTCTCTCTCTGTCATTCTCTACTCACAGAAACACACAGTTATAATGAGAATAAGTATAATTCTTTTTTATTCTTCTAACTTACAAAAACTATTTATACAAAAATCAACTGATTATAATGTTCTGTTCAATTAGTTCTGTTTGAGTTATCGTTTAAAATTATTTAAATGCAAATAAAAGTGTGAGGCTAAATTATTGGAATTACTATTTATGTTGCGTCACTCTCTTATATTTGTTGCAAAATATTGTAAGCTGAATACGATGTTTTAAGCAACTGCAAAATATAAATATTCCATATAATAAATAAATATTAGAAAATTTAATTAGAAGTTATTTAATATAACGAACTAAAAAGATTTTTTAAAAAGATTCATTTTATTTTATTCAAATAAATTTATACATATTATTACTACATTTAAATCCTTTCAAATTTAATTGCGATTCTGCGATAATAGCAAGCGTTTTATACTAACACCCACGAAAGAATCAAGATTCATCGAAATAATATAGGCGCTGGTAAATTCAATAGGCATTGTACTACGTCTCATAATTAATAAGAAAGTTTTTTTTACATTTTGATCTAACATATACCATTCCATGTTAAAAATATTACTGACGAGTTGTTGGCTCTATATTAATTACAGAATAATATTAAAATATATATAAATTAATTAAATTAATTATGTATATAAAGCAATTAATTTAATTATTAAAAAATTTATAATTTATTCATTATTTAAATTTATTGTTTCAAACATCGCATACCTTTAATTTTACCTCATTTCCATACCAACAATAAAAAAAGATTTGCGTCAGCATACTGCACATGTATAATATCAGCTGAACATACTTTGCATTTGTTGTAGTTGACCTAGTTAATTGATATAAGTTGAAACACACTACCAATGTGCTAACCATAAACTGAATAGCAATAGTAAATCTGAATTTTTCATTGACCGTGATAGCAAAGCTGTAATTTTTTAAATGTAACTAACTATTTCATATTTGCGAGTCGAAATGATAGCTATACATTGATGTCTTTATTAATACAATATTAATATTTCTATCATATTAATTATACCATATATATAATATATAAATAATTGTATTATATAAAAGTTATTATATAAATACAAACTCAAAAATACGATTGTGTTGTAGAATGCATTCAGAAAGAATACCAGGCTCATATGCTATTCTTCTCAAACGAGATTCCAATATTTTGATTTGGCAACAAATGTGTACCAATAGTCCACAAATCAGGCCATCGCAAGCAACATGCAGGACGGATCCAATTATTAAACTTATCAATTGGTGAGCATATGTGATGTAAAATAAGATTGGCGATGAATAATCATACGGTAACCAGGCTCTGAATGTCAATGTCCGTCTTCTAAAGTCCGTGAGTAACGATGTTAACGTAATGCATACGCAAGTTGTTTCAACCAAAATTGCATAATGTATTGTATTTGCTCTGCAAAAAACTGTAGACATTGTCGCGTTTCATTTATAAATCAGTGTCTTATTTAATATCAATTTTCCTATTTTTTTCTAATATATAATTTTAATAATTATAATATTGCACTTTACGTTAATAAAGATATTATAAAAAATATGCCTTAAACAGAAATATTTAAATCTCAAACTTTTATTTTAAAATTAAATTATGTGTTTGATATGATTAAGTAATTAATTTTAATAATAAAAATAGGGTGTCTTATTTTAAAAGTGTTAAGTTGATTATATCTTGAAAACGAAGCATTTTCTAAAAAAATATTTCAGATAGATATTGTATGGTTTGAAGGGAAATAAATAATGGTATCAATTTCTTTTTAATCGATTTTTCTAGTTTATATAAAAAAATCAATATCATTTTTTAATCAAATTATTTGATTTTTTACGTGATATAATTTTCTGAAGTTATTCTACATATAACAGTATCAAAATAGAATTATCGAAAAATTAATAGTTTACGACGTACTTTATATCCCCCTTAAATTATACAATTTCGTCTAAACGTTTTTCCCAAAAATATTTTTTTTCTTTGGATATAATGAACTTAAATGAAATACTCTTTATAACTTTTTACATTTTCAGGAAACTTACTGTACGCCCTTATCAAATTTGTTATGAATTTCCATTTCTTCCGGTTCCAATGGTCTACACGGTCTTTCCGTGAGAATGTTTGTTAACAAAGCAATATTTTTGCGATTTATCAACATACTAAGCATTTTACAACAAGATACAATCATTGCAAGTAACATGTAGAAATTATCAGTGAAATCGTCCGCATTATCCACAGTAAGAATAATATCCAGTAATTGCGATAAAGTAAATGTGTTTATTAACGCAAGCACGAAAAATGTGTGCGTATGGTAGATTACACGTTTACATGACGATGTCCAAGAATCCGGTCGCCAGCAACCACAAATAGTTAGAAATTTAAAAGTCGAATCTAATACTCGCATTTTAGTATTTTGTTTCTCAGTATAAACATTTATATACGTGAAAATTAAATGATAACAAAAGTTTACATACGCTCTTTATATATTTTTCACATTCTTCTTTAATCATATAAAATTTTAGATACGTACTGACTAAAAAAATTGAGCAATTAATTTTCTCAGATATCTTTATAAAAACAAATACAAAAATTTGTCGAATAAAACTCTAAGTTGTAATAAAATTGTTTGCACGAATATTAATCTAACGTGCGACAAACTCTTTAGAACAACAATTATAGAATGTCTATAGATTTGTGAATTTCTAGAAAAGATCCTCGTTTAACTTGTCCCTCCCTATACGATAGTTTTTAATATTTAATTTGTAACCACGTCCCTCTCTCATGTGCAACGCGAATACTAAACACAGACTTTATCTGATAGTAGTATACTGTATTAATACGTTCAAAATAAATTATATGTTAGAATTGTTGTGGAAGGAAAAAAATGACAACTCTCAATGTCGCATAAGCGGTCTGTGTATCTGTACGCCGCATAAAGTACTGACATTGGTAATTTCCACTTTCTACTAGGAAATATTTAATATTCTAGGAAATATTACTTCTACTTGGAAATAATAAAAATATCGATTTATTATTCGAATAATTCCAAAGGCAACAGATTTTCTCTCCCTGTTTAATCCCTTTTACTACAATTTTTAATTTATTACAAATGCAACTTCTAATAATATATTTGTGCAATATAAGTAAAATCCGTATATCAAAATGAGTTGTAATAGAAATTGTAGTACACAAATATTTTAGTTTTTTTTTTCTGTTTATGATATCAATAATACGAGAGATAATTATCTGTATTATATGATAATAAGATTTTATATATGTATACATGTGATATTCATATTCACATATTTGTGACATAGATTCACATTGCGTTGATGTCACCGATATTTTTGCTATATATATATCCAACATTATGAACTTTGTGTTTGCTTAAGTATATTATAAGCCGAATACGATGTCTTGAGTAACTACAACAGAAATTATTGCTAACGTTATTTTAGATAAGTTATTATATTTGAATATATGTGAATTTTATTTAATTGGTTCTTATCTTACATTTATAATTAATATATGATTATTTTAATAATAAATTATATATTATATATTAATTTTTTTAATAATATTAAATAATAAATAATAAATTTTTTTGTTAAATATACTAAATATTTAAATTAATATAAACAAATATTTATTTGACTTTGACATTATTTTTTATTAAAAAAGAGAAAGCACTTTTAATAATAAAACTTTATTTAATTTAACGATCTCTTAATTATATAATTATATATGGCACATTACAATACTAACACTCACAAACGAATCCAGATTCATAGAAATAACACAGGCACTAGTAAATTCAATTGGTACTACAGCACGTCTCATGACCATTAGTAAAGTTTTCTGAGCAGTTTCATTGAATTTGAACCATTCCATCTCAAATATATTATTTATCAACTGTCGACTCTATATTTTAACAATCAAGAAAAAGAGAAAAGATCCGTATATTTATTTTATCTTTATATTAAATATTGAAATAAAAAAATTATTAACTTATTTTAAAAATTCACATACTCTCAATTTAACTTCGTTTCCATACCAACAATAGAGAAAGATTTGTGACAGCATAGAACACGTATACATTATTAACTGCATATATTTTGTTCTTAATGCTGTTGACTTGGTAAATTGATACAGATTAAAACACATCACCAATGTACTTACAACAAACTGGATAAATATAGTTATTCTGAATTTTTCGTTTACTATACGAGCAAACCTAAAATTAATAAAAAGTAATATTGCAACTTTTAAATTAATAAAATATATATAGAGTTTTTTTCCAGAAATCATGTATAATCGAGAAATAATTTTACAGAAAAATAAATTGGAAAATAAATAGTAAAAAGTCTGTGCTACACATCGTACAGCTTAATAATAAAAATACATCTATTTTCAGCATAATTGAAAACAAACTTGAATATGTTGTTGTGCTGAAGGACACACTCGCGAAGAATATTAGGATCACGTGCGCTTTTCCTCAGACGATGTTCCAATATCTCTATCTGACAGCAAATGTGCACCAGGAATCCACATATGAGACTATCGCAAGCCACATGATGTACAGATCCCATTGTAAAACTTATCAATTGATGAGCGTATACAAATAGAAAAAGTTGCGATGAGGAATAGTCAAATGGCAGCCATGCTCGGAATGTCAAATTTCCTTTCTTGAATTCAGTTAATAATGATGTCACGGCAACAGACAGACACGTTGTCTCGACTAGGATAGTATAGTAAAGCGTATTTGACCTGGAAAACGACTATAGACGTTTTCGCGTTTCATTTTTTATTCAATATTTTCAGTTACATTTTTTTCTTTAAGTTAAAACGTTATGTCTGATTTATTTATTCATTTAAATAAAAATAATCTTAATTACTATATAACAGCACTTAACTAATTTATTTTAATTATATATTAATTATTAAAAGAGGATTGATAGTTGATGCTAGCTCGCGATGCTTACTGTATGAGTTTTTCGAATTTCTGTCGAATCTTCATCTCGTCGGGTTCAACCGGTCGAAATGGTTTTCTCATAAGAGTTTTGATTAACATCTCAATGTTGCTACGATTCATCAACAGAGCGAGCATCTTACAGCAAGAAACGATCATAGCGAGTAGCACGTAGAAGTTATCGGTGAAATCGTTGGAATTATCCACGATTATAATAAGATCCATCAATTGCGATAGCATAAATGTGTATATTAGTAACATTACGAAAATAGTATATACATGATAAACTAACCGTTTGTATGGAGTCGGCCAAGAATCCAGTCGTCCACAACCGCAAATCGTCAATATTTTGAACGTAAAGGCCAGTAAAAACATCTTTAATATCTTTTGTTATCTTCTTTGATGTTATTTATTAATCTCTCCTTCATGAAAATAGTATAATAAATTATTTACTTTATATTTTTTATACATATACACAAAATACGTATCTCTCAATGTCATACTGTTAAAATTTTGAAAAATTTAGATATTGAATAATTCTTTATTTCAATTAATCAGAAATTTCAAGCATTTCATGACATTATTAATCAATTGATTACAAATCTTTTATGTTTTTATTTGATAATAAATAATATTATAAGAAAATTCATATTATAAAAAAATTATCTTACGATATAATGTGATACGCAATAAAATCTTACAGTAAACTGACTGTCATTAAATATTGTCTATAACTTCACGATCTTCGTGCAATAATATAGCTTACCCAACTATTTCTTTTGACAACTTTTATTATTCAGATTGCAATTGTGTTCTTCACATAATACTATTTTCATACTCTCGGCTAAACACAGACTTGATAATATTAAAATATTATGACATAATAATACTTCACGTGAATTATATTTTGTGATATTGCATGTTAGAAAGCAGAACAGAGGAATAAAAAATAATAACCCTCGGATGTCGAGTCCAGCTCTCCGTACTTACTCTTCATAAAATATTAACGTCAATAACTCTCTCGTATACTTCAGCCAAAAACTATTTAATTCATGAAGGCGTAAATTTGCCATATCATGATGTGAATGATAAATTTTTCTTCTTTGTATTGATTTCTGCTGCTTTCTGATTTTTGATAGTTTATGTATAGTCTGTGACGTGTGCATGTGTATATGTACAGTAAAATATTACTCAATCCATAAGAATATATTTCGATTAGTGTACAAAAAAACAATATTGTATAATCAGCAATAATAAATATTTTAAAATTCTATAATTAACGTAAATTCTAATTGTAAGTTTCTCTCCTTAAATATCTCTCTACTCAAATGTCATGATAGATAAAAATTATGTTATTATTGCCGAATAAAATCATCTGATATAACTGTTTAATGTTTCTCTGCATACATATTAGTAACGCAAATCCATATTATTGTAATTATTTTAATAATGATTTGCATTGAAAGATGATGAAATAAAATAAAATTTTTCTTTTACTTTGTTTTTGCCGCTCTTACATTTGTTTCAGTACATTGTAAGCTGAATATGATGTCTTGAGTAACTGCAATTAAAATTATTAATTATGATATTTTAAAAAAATTAAATATACATATAGTCAACAATATTAATTATATTAAAATTATTGAAAAATTTTCCTAATTTATTATTTTTTAATTTGTACCTATTATTATAATTATTTTTTACATAAGTAAATAGGAAAAATATATTTAGTGCATTGAAATTGTGTGCTTTTGATAAGTATAATATTTAATTCTAATTTTAATTGAATAATAATTCTTTAAAAAATTTTAATGAAGATAGATCTAACATTAAATATTTTACTTATAATTAAACTATTAGTTACAGGTAAGAATAAATTTTAATACCAACACCCACAAATGAATCAAGATTCATCGAGATAACATAAGCACTGGTAAGCTCGATTGGTCTTGAACTTCGTCTCATAATCATTAATAAATATTGTTTAGTTTGTTTGTTTAATTCAAACCACTCTATTTCAAATATGCTATTAATCAATTGACGACTCTACATTTAACAATTAAAGCCCATTATTCATTTTGTTTACGCAATATATTAAATATCCAAGTAATAGATACATGTTTCACATATTATATATATATATATATATATATATA